AATACAAAATAAAATTTTTATTACTGTTTCCTTACACAAGCAGGTGTAAACTTTAAAATTTCAAGACCATTTTTTTCCCAAAAAAAAAAAGTAAAAATAGATATGAAAAGTGTTTCCTTTTTGGTTTTGGGGTTTTATTTACGTTTCCTTGCTGTACAAACAAAACAATAAAATACAAATACAATATACGAAAATAGTTTTTTTTTTAAAATTGCCTTAAAAAGCGAAATTTATTTATATAAAAAAATGGCCCACAAAATTAGAAACCAGCAAAAAGCGCCTGTTTGCCCCTCGGGGCTACGCAGGCCAACCAGGCAGGCTATTCAGCCTTGACAGACAGGGCAGACCACGTAGCCCAGACAGGCCACGTATGACACGTATAGCAGACAGTGAATTCAAGCTAGAAAACCCACGCAAAACTGATTCTGTTTGAGCTGAAGCTACGGAAAAAGGTATTAATGTGATATTCAAGTGTCTGTGGTAGATGTTGTACTTACATTTTATCCGTGCTTAAGCAGTATCACGAGCTAATTTATAAAGTGAATAATGTGTTTAGTAAAACGGATAATGATTAATGTTAAAATTATATTACGTTGTATGAAGCTTTACGCGATATATCTATTGACAAATGAAACGCGTTATGTATTAGTTTAGGATGTAAAATAATCACCAAGATATTACCTACGGTATTTCAAAGAGAAAAGAGCCTCTAAAAAATAAAAAGGCGTTTGTTAATGATATATTATTACAGTGAAGCACAGTACAGAATAAAGTATACCTTTATAGATACACATCTTAAAAGTAAAAGGGGATAGAAGATTATATTATTGCATAAGTCATGAAATAGCTACCTTTTTCGCGTTTGACTTTGATTAAATTGAATGTGAGAGAAGAATTAGTAGAATGCCTTTGGATAGTATTGTTAAGACAGATGTTCTATGACATACCATTGTTCATAAGCATCATAATATTACAAGCAACAATCACGCGTTTGTGAAGACACGCCACGGTTAAAAAAAATACGTAAGAGAAAGAAAAGCGACCTAAGAAAGTTGGGTTGCGTGACAAAATATCGTTCCGCAATGACGTTTGTAAATTATTGCACCAATCAAATTGACAGCTTATGTCCGCATAAGCTAAGCATTAAACACGTTTTTTGATCTGAACGATATATAAACCAAACACAATCCCCAGAGTGCACTTTATCAAAATTCTTTATTTTATTATAAACAACTTACTTTAATTTTAAAACACTATGAAAAAAACACCTGGAACAAATAAGTTCCGTGCAAAACCTGCTTTACCGCCTCAGGAGCAAACGTGTCTGTTATGTAAATACTGTACAATTAATCGACACTCTTTTAAAGTGCATCAAAGATCAGGACACCACTTAGAACTTCTGGAGGCGATTCAGTCCAATCAAGGATCACTACCTGCCAATGACATCCAACAACAGTAAGTGAGCGTCTTCATCAATTTAAAAATATTCAGTTTGTACTTATCATTATTATTTTTAGGAATACCTCTGACGAACAACCTACTATCCCGCTAAGTGAATATCGTAGTTTTGATATGGAGTCCATTGAAAGGTAAAGTTATTTAAGGCTGTTAAATATATTCAAATTACTTCCATCAATATACATTAGACCAATCCAACCTGAACGCACTGCCGAACCATTGTCTGAGCCTGCAAATGAATTTGATGAAAATCAATATGATAATTATGATGGTGACGGTGATGATGATGAAGAAGAATTTGATGGTGGTAATGCCTTTGACCATTTCAACAATGATTTTAACAACGGAGGGGAATCTGATGATGATAGCGAATCTAATGAACCTCCCGTTCCTGTTAACGACGTCAACAACGGCTCTAATGGTGATGGTGGTGATGATGGTGATGATGGTAATGATGAATATTATGATTTGAGCGGTGATGTCAACGACAATCCAGCATATCCTTTCAAAAATGAATACAGAATGCATGCCCTTCTTTTCTTCAAGTCTGGTAGCTTTAAGTATTCAGAAGTCCAAATCAAATCAGTTCTTGATTTTGGTAAATATATGGCTGAAATTGCAATCAAAGAGTACAGAGCTCAACTAGCTTTGGATCATTCTGATGTTATTTATGATTTCCGTAATTATCCCACTCCCCACAGCGTTTCCAGATTTCACAAATCCAAGAAAAGTTGTATACCTTGTTTTTCTCATGCTCCCCATTGTGCGAAAGATAATAACGGCGGACTTCTTGTCGAACCTACTGAACCTGCCACATCAACTAGCACATCTGGTACTGCTACTGTAGCTGACGCCTCTGCTCCTGCTCCTGCCTCTACCTCTGCTCCTGCCAATACCTCTGCTCCTGCCACTGATCCTGCTGCAACAACAAATACAACTGCTTCTGCACCCGCTGTTCCTGTTGTTGTCGCATCAAAGCCTGACTTGTTTCTCAATGATGTATCTGAACACTTGCGACTTCTCGTAGGTAATCCTTGTATGTCTGGTTTCCTGTCAGATCTTCCTGATCGAACACCTAACCAACGAATCAAGCTAAGTCAAGGTGAAAAGTGGAATTGTGATAGATTGTTTGAGCATCCCATGATAAGTACTGGTCCAAATCTTCAACTCTGGGTATCGGATAAAGTCTCTTTGCTGTCTGAGAGCAATATTCCTCTTCGTGATCGCCAATATTTTAAAGTGGCCAAGATATTCCAAATATCAAAAGTTGTGAACGTTGATTTGTATCCAATTAAACCCGATAATAATCTTGGAATTTGCTGTTTATACGACATTCTTCTCAACTATCCCATAACCGACTTTGACATCAATAATGTCTTTCGTGCCGAACATGAATCCTTCGATGCATTTACCAGCTTACAACATATAAACGGTGACGATTATCATTGTTCTAGAGATGTTGTTGCTAATACTCGATTGATTCGCGCTCACCAGGACATGATTGATACTGGTAATAAGTACAAGCGTCCGCTGCCAATTAGATCACGTATAAAAAGCATAAATCCTAATTCGTCAAACTACCAGGTCGTTAGAGTAATTCCGTACAACCTTTGCTCTGATGATACCAGTGGTAATTCCACATCAAAATGGAATTGTTTCTATTCGTGGTCGATGAATCCCGCCGCTGTTCCTCTTAGTGTTGCCAATCATTATTTGAATCAATTTTTTATAAATGGATCAAATCGTCATACTGCTATGGAACAGTTGCCTTCCCTTGTCCCCGATTTGAAGAAACTGGAAACTGGTCTGCCGATGTTTGATGCTATGTTCAAGGAAGAAGTCTTTGTTGTTGCTCCTCTTTTGTTTATCAAGGCTGACAATCCTTGTCATGCCGGTGTTACTTGTTTGAAAGCTTCAACAGCTACTTATCCGTGCAGAAAATGCTTCTGGTGTAGACATGCTGATGCTTTTGATCCTAATAGAATTACCACGGCCGAAGAACACATGTCAGTTCCAAACGATGACTCGAATAGTACGGATTTCTCGATACGTGTTCGTAACAAACAGGGTGATTATATCATGGTCGAAAACTTGATGGACCTCGGCTTCAAGGAAACTTCTGGCAAAAGGCTTTTGACGTTGTCTTCTTGGGATCCTAGCAAGGATACACCGGTAGAAATTCTGCATGGTCTATGTCTCGGTTTAATCATATACACGTTCAACAAAGCTCCTGATTGCTTTTTCGACAAGAAGCAGGTTGATCGCATTAGTTATTTGTGTGCATAGTATGGGTCTAAGGCTTTTACCAATTTGTCGACGCATCTCAAAGGATACAAAAGCTTTCTTTAAGAGACTTCAAACTTACGATTCAGATGCTCCCAATTGTTCTCAGAGTTGCTCGTGACCACATTGATTTCCTCAACCTTTGTAATGATCAATTCCACCGAATGGTAACGTTATTAGTACTTTGGACAAGCTTGGTGAGCTTTGCTCATCGTGTTATAACTGTGAAATACATAACAACTTTTCTGCCTATCTCGATTTATTGCGTCAATACGTTGATGATACTGTTATTGATCTGGATAACCTTGATCGTACCGTTGTTCCCAGTAACCGACGTACTCGTGGAGAGCCAGCAACAGCAACGACAACTGCCTCAGTGCGCAGTCAAACTACTTTTGAAGAGATCTATGGTCTTTCTGGTGAACAATGTAATGGTGCTACGATTCCATACGCCAAAACTGGTGGTTCATTGTGTAATCGTTTAAAGACTCATTTGATAGTCCATTTGGTAGAGGATTGTCTTCAATTTGCTTCTCCTGTGCTTCTCGCAACTGAAAAGAACGAGCAATTCAACAAACGCATTAGGGCAATTGTCATGAAGACCAACAAACAAAACCCTTCTCGTGATTTGGCTCTTATTTACGGTCGTGAGGTAATGCTGAGAAGTATTGCGATGGGTCTTGTTTGGGATAACGGTATGAAAACTCGTGGTAGTCTGGTCAAAGCGTGGTTCGATAGGTACAGTAAGGACATGTACTACTCTGCTAATCAGGAATTCGGCAGTACTGAGTATATTGCTCGAAAGAAGATTGCTTTAACATGACGGCTATTCTCGATGTTGACTTCGATTCTCTTGGGGCGCTTCGTCTGCTTGGAAAGGTCGTAAAACTTCGCGGCGATCAGGCTATTGATGAGGTGTATGAACTTGTTCCCAGGCCAGCCTTCGTGATTTACGATGACAGTAGGTGCTCTCAAGATCGGAAACCGAAAATAAATTGCCCAGTTTTTCTACAAAAATAGTAAAAGAAGTGCTTGAAAAAGCGATCTAAAAATGGGCAAAATAACACACATACATATATGTGTGGAAATAAAAATCTGATCAAAGTCAAGGTACATTCAAAATTATTCGCTTGAAAAAGAAATGATAAAATAACAAAAGTTTTTAAATCCACATTTTTTTTATTTTTATTTTTATTTTTTTTATTTTTATTTTTTTCCTCCCTTTTACTTTATTACTACTTTTTATCACTTACCTTACTATGAACAACACTGAAGCAAATAACAACACACCCAACAACGTACGTGGTCGCGGACGTGGTCGTGGAAATGGACGTGGAGGTAGACGCGGACGTGGCAGACACGCTGGCACCTTTGTGTTTGTTGAACCTACTGTTCAGCACAACACCACTCCTGTCAACAACAGCAATGCCCAAGCTGAGAACAACAACGCTAATGTCGAAGATGACAATGGGCCTTCACGTCCATACAACGTATGGCCTGAGGTTGCAATTTGTATCCTTCTTGAGATCATGGCAGGCACCTACAATCACTTGTTGAGAAGAGGAGATACTGCCTTGAAACAGTTTATCTGGGTTCATTCGGCAGCTCTCTTGAAATAAAAGATGGCTGAATATGCAAACACCGATGCAGTCAGGGCTTTTATAGCAAATGTCACGCATCTCAGTATGCAACGCAAGTGGAAAGACATGAAAGCCAGATTCACCAGAGCCAGAAATGCAGCAAGAGAAACAGGAGTTGGTGGAACTGTCCCAGACATACCATACTATGAAGAAATTGCCAAGATCACTCAGGATGATCCTAGCATCCAACCTGAGGTAATTTACAAAAGCGTCAACATGGAGGAGAATGGCATTCGATCATATAGAAGATCAAACGACGTTGATTTAATGGATGCCATTGAATCCGATGGTCCCGAAACTACGTACTTGACACCTACGGAAGTCGATCAACTTGTGATTCAAAAAGCTTTTGCCGATCGATACCCCACTGAAGGATCTTCAGTACCATCATCATCAACAGCACCTGCACCTGCACCACCATCAACGCCCTCATCCGCACCACCATCTCCACCTACATCCGCACCACCACCAACCTCAACACCAGCAACCGAACCACCAACACCAACACCAACATCAGCATCCGCAGTACCACCAGCATCGACAGGCGCCACACCCCCACCTCGATATACATCCGCACCACCTCCACCTCCATATTCATCCGCATCACCTCCACCTCATCAAACATCCGCGCCTCCACCTCAACAAACATCCGCGCCACCTCCACCTCAACAAACATCCGCGCCACCTCCACCTCAACAAACATCCGCACCACCTCCACCTCCACCTACATCCGCACCACCTCCACCTCCACCTCCACCTACATCCGCACCACCTCCACCAAGATCAACCCGCACTTCGAGAAATAATCGAACTTCTGGTGAGCAGTCTTCGTCAACTTTTGATCCCATCGAGGCTGCTCGTCAGTTGTCAGAGGAGCATATGGCACATGCCCGCCAACTCGGTGTAGAGATGATGGATCGAATGGCAGCGGTACAACGGGAAGAAAGGGAGCAAAGAATTCGTGACCTTGACAGTATGTTGCAAAGGGTCAGTCGTAATCGACAGACTGCATTGGAAGATATGCAAACAAGAAGACGGCAAGAGTCCAGAGAGAGATATCGACTGCTAGAAGAATCAAGAAGTAGACGAGAGGCCGATTTGGAAGAGGATAGACGTAAACGTATCTCTGATATGGAGACTATTATGAATAGATTTGCAGCAATTCGAAGAGGCGATAGTGATACCAATCTTGGTTCATCTTCTACTGACAACAATAATTAAATAAAAAATATATTTAATATAATAAAACCTTTTGAAAACTAAGCAAGTCTATCTGTTCCCCTCATGATGTTGTTTCTTCTTAAGATAGACATTGCCTTAATACGGCGCATACCTGCAGCATCAATGGTAGCATCGGTACCGAGGAAAGGAAGCGGAGGTTCGAAGTTCACTTCATTTTCAAATTGGTTTCTACGGTCTGCCTCAACAAATCCCTCAAAATCCAAGTTTCCATCCAAAATTGCCTCTTCGATATCATTTTGGTTTACACAAACGTTGTGCAAACCACAGCAAGATATGATGGTTTTAGCCATTCTATCAACGCTGAGCATATACAAGTGCTTCCAAAGGAATCTCCACCTGGACGTGAGCCCACCAAATGCATGTTCAATTTTAATTCGAGAACTAGAAAAGGTTGCATTGAAAATTTTTTCTTCCGCAGTGCTTTCACGTCGGCCATGGAATGGAACAATGAGATTAGGCAGCAAAGGGTAAGCCGAATCTAGGTCTCATCGTTAATGCTTTGTATACCTTAAAATAATTAATGAACTTACCTCCCAAAATATAAGTGTTTGCAGGACACCATCTGGCCGCATCCAACAAAATTTTGTGATAAATCACGCTGCTTGTGAATACTCTGACATCATGGTTTCTGCCTTAATATAATAACAAACGGTAAGCTGCTGTATCATTTTTTTATCCTACCACATGAACTTACCGGAATGCCCAGTTTTTACGTACATAAATCGAGTACGGGCATCACAAATTGCCATCAAATTCATGGATGCATGACTCTTTCTATCGACATAAGCGTTTCCATTTATTGCTGGTTTTTGGATCACAACCAGCTTGCCATCAATTGCACCGAGTACACCAGAAAGTCTCGTGGCACCAGGTTCACCAAGTTCTGCAAACTCACGAGCATTGTTCAAAGCTCTCTGTCTATCTTCGATGGGCCATGTTATAAGTTCGGGAGTAATCTCCAACATGGCATCAATAAATCGGTTAGTGAAATTATTGAATGATCCGGCAGTTACTCCAAGATGAGTTTCGGCAATTCGATAACCAAAATGCGTGTTAGCAAATCTCCAAAGCACACACGCAACTTGCACTTCTACAGAGTAACTACCTCGCAAAATTGATCCAAGATAAGCAGCACATCTACTCAAACGATTGACGAGCCACTCGAAGGTCGACTTGTTGACTCGATAATGAGCTCTATAGCTATGGCGGCTGTTACGATCGTCGTTCAAGTTGGGATGTTTTATCGTCCAGTATGTTTCGTACGTGTCCATACGCTCGGTTCTAACAACCCTTCTGTGCGATTCTCGGGTCATCATCCCAGGGTTGCTTATGAAGATGTAATAAAAGATGTCATAGTTGATTAAAGCGGTTGCATGCAAAATTGTTTCTCTAACCCAAAGTTGGAACAAGGAATAAACGTCATATTTGCCTTCAAGACGAGCATAGTCGGCAATAATGTTCTCTTCGGCAATGGCAACCTCTTGTTCAAGCATTTCTTCTTCTAAATCGAACTCTTCGTCAATTCTAATGATTTCTTCCATCACGGCATCGAAGTATTGATCTTCGTCTTCAAAACGGTCAGCACCATTTCCCATCCAAAGTTGCTCTTGCATTATATCGAAAAAAGTTTCGTCAATTGGGTTCATGGTAAATAGGTACTTTAAAAAAAAATAAAGATAAGCGAAAAGGAATATTCCGTTTTTTTTATTAATAAAATCACGTTAGGTCTTTTAGTAAATTTGAAAGTGAAGAACCGTCACGGCATCACCTGATCGATGAAATTATTTTTTTGTTCAATTTAAAAAATTCCGTTCACACCCAAAAAAGGGGTCCACCGGCTTTTCGAATTTTACCTTGAGAGCACCTAGTAGCCTCTTTCTGTCTATCAAGCTGACGAAGGTGGTAATCTCCTCACCAAAAAAACTGAAGAAATCTTGGACTTGCTGAAGTATAAAATGACTATGGTGGAATTGCATGACATGTCTCAGGAAACTAAGATTGACACTGTCAAGTATTCTCTTATCAACAAGTGCAAGTTCGGTACTTTCTGGTGGCTCCATAACACTAATGGTTATTTCAAAATTTTAAAAAATGAAAGAAACTAATCATTTTGTTTTTTTTACATGTCATTTTTTCAAAAAAAGTTAAAGTCTCTTCCATTTTGTTATCCAATAAAAATGCTTAGCTGCACGAATCGCTATCCTGACCCCCATAAAAAACGCTTAAGTAGTTTTCAAGGTGCACAAAACCTTCGTACAGTTGTTTATTTCGTAACATCTGGCCTTCAATCACGTATTTTGTTTTTTCGCCCAATCGCAAAGTTTTATTTTTTTTAAAAACAATTCTGACACGGGAATTTACTTTTTGGTGCCGAATTTAAGAAATATTTAAAGTTTTCCACTCGTTGTGTATATTCCTATGAAGCGCTGTTAACCGGATCCATAACTTAATAATAACAACCAACAGAAAAATAAAAATGTTTGGAAAATCGCCCTATGAATCTGTATGTGATGTCATTACACAAAATACGAAAACCTTAAACGATTACGATACTTTGGAGGGCGCTGTATTTACGTTTTTGAAATCCAACCTACGTTTAAGGATGTTCGGATATGATTTGCGACTTACCTTATATGGGAAATTAGCTTAGATAGTTCTTATATCACTTTAGAATGCTTGAACCATTTTGGTACCGTTTATAATTTCTTAAAATCTATTTTGGTCATTAGTTTGATGTAATCAGGGAACCCTTAAGTATCGGATCTGTAGGGATAACGAACCAGAATTCTCTGAATTATCGCATAACAACGGATAACGGTCCGGGGTACCCTAAAGTCAACGGATTTTCAGGGATAATGGACCGGAGTAGGCTGAAATCAACGGATTTTGAGGGATAACGGACCAGAATTCTCCGATTTGTATGATTTAGCCTGCTGACATGAAACAAAATATATTGATATCTTAAATAGGAGATGTACTGATATGGACAAGCTCCGTTTTTTTTTTTTTTTTTTTAAAAAAATGTTTTTCTATCAATATTTTTTCCTAAATTGAATTCTGTCAAAATCCCATGTTGCGATATTTTTTCAATATTAATCTACTGCTTAAAAATGAAAAATCTTTGGGCATCGAATGTGAAGCCTCCAGAAATAGACGGTCGTAAAATGGACTACTAAAATGCTAAAATACCTAATAAAATTCTATTACTGTTTCCTTACCTTAATTCTTCTAAAATGAATAATCAAAACAACAACAACAACAACCCTATCAATCACCAATTTATTTAAGTGACACCAAATGGTGTAGCCTATGGTAGCAACCTTCGCATGCTACTACTGTTTCAAAAGAACAGGAGGTTCCTGTCGTCGTTCCTGCTGCTGCCGCCGTTTCCCCTGCTGCACCTGCTACTGCCACTGCTGATGCCACAGATGCTGATGCCACTATTAAGTTTCGGATACCAGATAGACGACCTCAAAATGGAATTCAGCTAGGAACTTCGCGCTTATTGAATTGTATGCTGATTACAACAAGCGGATGGAGTCCAATTGTACGCTAGCTAGACCAAATGAGTTGTACCATGCATGTTGCGCTCATTCAAGAGCAACAACAGCACCAATGGAAACAGACCTTTGAGTCCATTGAAGTCTAATTGGTCTGCTCCCAGTGCTGCCTTCAGACATCGCAATGATACGTTGAATCCAACTGGTACGGCACCGATTGAAAACTGGGTTTACCATGATGCGATGGAGAACCCCACCAGTGACATGCCCACCGTGACGCCAACTACTGTGTATACCTCTCTTTCTGGAGAGACGATAGATAATCGTGGTGAAGTTGCGGTGCTAGACGAGTAAGAGCGGTCAAAAACTGTGGTGCTAAGAAGGGTGTGGCTCTTGGGACCGGTAGTTAAAGTAGAGCGGGCAACCAAACGATCGAGTATCTGGTCACCTCTAAAGAATGAGATTGAGGCATGTCGTTTTGAGCATGGAGAGCCGGAGCGTAGAAAGTTCACTAAATATGTTGCTCGTTCGACGACGTTTTTCGGTCAGATGTTGGAGTCCATGGAGAAACGGGACCAGGTGCAGTCTCGCATTGCTGAGTAGATGCAGGCCAGTCTGAATATCCAGCGCGAGATGCTGATGGTAATGAAAGAGGATTTCGGCTCAAGCAACAACAACGCCACCAGCTACAATGCGTTTGAGAACGGTGACTACAATTACACCAACAACACCAGCCACTACTTCCGCCCTGATGTCAATGGTATTCCTGAAGCCTATGACTATCAGTTCAACAGTCCTTCTGCCAGCAGCAACAGCGCCTACAACAAACACCGACGCCAACAGCACCATCACCAGCAACATCGTCCTTAACAGCACCCTCCCAAAAAACACCTTCCGCAAGAACACCTTTCCCAATAACACCTTCCCCAAGAACACTGCCTCCATCCCCTCTGCCAGGCGCATGGCGATTGATGGCAGTGTCAGACGGTTTCTCCTGTTCTGTCAGACGCGCTTGAAATCACTTATCCTTCGTCCGATTAACATAAACCTCAAAACAACGACTAAAATATATTTGGCTTTTTTTCAAAAATAAATTTGTTTTGTTTTAAAAAAATTTAGTTCTTAGCAAATTTAAGGATAAGCTGCATTAAAGATACGCAAGCGGGCCCTGTTACCGATAACACATGTATCACCCTGCTCTCCAACTACAAGACCAGCAGGCTCAAGAACCACACCATCGAAACCTATCTCCCCTCTTGCCTTACTTGCATTGTGTAGAATAGCACACGACCCGATGATATTATTGATATCCAAATTATTATACACGTAAATATGGAATTGTGTGAATCTTCGCCGATGAACGAACTTACCAAGAGTTCTTTCAATGGCCATTCTTCTGGTTGAATGCGAATAGTTGAATAACCTCTTGCGCGGATCCCGGAGACATTCACTTTCAGGGAATCGTGTAACCAAATTGGCAATGGTCGGATAGGCCGAATCACGTAGAAAATAAAATCCTTTAGTAAAGTAATGCCCAGGATTATTCATGACCTTCCAGCTGATATCACTGGAATTATAGGCTGAGGCATCGTGACTTCTGCCTAGTGTATTCAAAGTAAATTAGTTTCCAACTCTCATATTTATATCGGTCATTATTACCAGAGTCTCCTACGCGAATGTAAGTAAACCTACATTTATCGTCACGAACAGCGGTAAGTTTAATGGTGTAGTTGTTTTTTCCGTCACGGAACCCTGCTCCATAAGCAGCTGGAGTTGGCTTATGAATGGTGAAGTTTTTGCCATCAATAGCACTAATTGTATCAAGAATACTTACACCGGGAGTGTTGTTGAATCCAGCAGATATAGCACTCACCATGGCTGAATTGGTAGGCCAATCTATCATTTAGCTAAGCACATCTTTGAGGGTCTTCACCGTACGCCTCGTGAAATTGGTATAGCTGCCATACAAAATACCATACAGGACATACATGTTTCTGTATCCAAAAGGACAATTGGCCAGTCTTAAAAGACAGGTAGCTATCTGGATGTAGATAGGAACGTGGTTTGGTGTCTTAAAATTAAATTCGGGATGAGTAGACAGCATGTTGACAAGCCAACTGAAAGAGTCCCTTCCCATTCGATATGTGGCACAGACGCTATCTACTAGGTTTTCGTCGTCGTCGCTGAGGTTGGGGTGTTGTACCTTCCAAAAAGTGTATCTTTCAGACACTCTTGTGGCACCCACACCGACAGTTCGCGTTCCGGTGATAATTGCCCCGGTCATAAACAAAGGCAAGGAAGTCATAACTATTCCAATTTCACTAGAGAAATCGGCAGCAGAAAAGTCGTACTGCAATTGCTGTTCTCTAAGCAAATGCACATTACTGACAGTAAGGTGCAACAAGTCTACAATTTCTTGGTTCTCCGTAGCAATGCTATCACTAAATGCATAAATAACAGCTTGTCGTTGTCTTTACATTTCGAAGAGGAGAAAAATTTGTTGGCGAGTTTGAGAATTCATTGAGAAATTAAATGGAAACAGAGAAAACGACAAAAGAACAGGTAAAACAGGAACAAACGAAAAAACATCTTGCCGATATTTTAGTACAATCGAATTGCACTAGTTCCAGGATAATATTTATTTTTATTTTTTATATTTTTTTAAAAAACCAGTTTTGGAAAAAGATTGACCTTCAAAAAAAAAACATTTTAAAAAAAACGGCGCTTGTCCATATTAGTACATCTCCTATTTAAGATCTCAATATATTTTGTTTGATGTGAGCAGCCTTATCCTGATGATTATTTGAAGGTCACTGGTTTTGTTCCACCAGATTTCCGCTATGGTCAGCAAGCATATTTAATCGAAGGAGCAAAGATCTTTATATCTTATAGCAACAATTTTCAGATGCGTTTGGGAAGTCATCTTGGACAAGCTGTCAATCATCTACTTCGTATTCGACAAAGAAAAGCCGAATTAATTGCTTATAGAAGACCTAAAAGATTAATTGATGCACTGATAAAATCTGAAGTATACAGAGAAATAACTGAGCCGGCGACAAGATTTAAGGAACTTATAGCTAGAAGGTTACCTCAAAATTTTGTATTGGACGGAGAGCCGTTCGGGGACCCTATCTACAATAACGCTCTTGAAATTCTTCGCCCTGTCCTTACCAGTTATCCCGTTGACTACCGATTTCGTGGGAATAGCATTTGTTACGATTCCAAAGCAGGACCAGTTGAACATATGCGGACTTTTTACGAACTGGCTTTATCATTTATTGATATAGAATTACCTGTGTTAAATTGCTTCCCATTACGCCGTTCTTGGATTCCTTGCTACACAACCATCGATTCAAAAAAAATTTGTCAAAATAATCTTGGTCGTCGGTGAACCAATCGTCAAGATAAGATAGCACTTTGGTGTGAAGTAATTAACCTAAACTCGGATGCACTCAAACACCACGAAAATGGCGAGTTTTAGTTTAGAGATACTATTTAAACGGATGGAGTAGGTGTAACTGTGATCAAGAAAAGAATGAATCGTGAAAGCAGATATACTGCTAGTTTTGCTGTTATGGTTGAATCAATCCAGTACATTTCACAAGAGATTGCTCAAGAAACTGTTGGAAGATGTGTTACAATTGATCCGGGACGAAGAGATTTGCTATTCTGTGTGCATGAAAACTCAACCTCAAACAATTCAAACAAGTTTCGATTTACCAAAATGTACCAAGACACGTTTGAAAAGATCAAAAAATACGGTGGAATCCGTGAAGCAGTGAAACCCGCTAGAGTAGGAGCCGCTGATAGGCTTTTGGTTAATTATGATTCCTTGAATAGAGATGAATTTGAACAGTATCTTGAAAACAGGTCCAGTACGACAGGCATCATCCAAAGGCACTAAGTCAACTTCCGAACCAACCATCGTACTGCTCATCCCTTGCATAGAGCATTGCGGCTATCTGCCTATGTTAGAACACAGTAAGGAAACCAGGATCTTATTTCAAAACTAGATAAACATTTTGGTCTCGAAGCAGTTTATGTTATGTGTAACTGGTCATCTTCTATTACAAGATTTTATGAGCGGTCCGAGGCCTTGGATTCCGTCGGTTGCTTCAAAAAGCTGGAAAAAGGTTGTACTTGATTGATGAATTTAGAGCAAGTCAGTACTGACCAGCTTGTGAACGTAAAAGTCTTGAAACGTTTCGGATGGCCGATAACATGCGCCCTCATAGACGAAGAACAAATCCTCGTGGAATCAGCCATGGCCTCTTAAGGTATGCTGATTTTACGTGTTTATAATTGTTTATATAATAATTTTCTTTTGTTCTTGTGACAGATGTACAAATCAAAATTGTAGAGCTATGACTGATAACACAAATATAATTGTTCCTCGTCTGTGGAATCTTGATAAGGAGCCTTGCTTGAACATAGTTGATATTTTTCGATCACTTCCAACTGAAAATGGCATTCCCCCAAGATTTCGACGTGTATAGGTTTCCTAGAACCAACGGAGAAGAGCAAGAACCAAAAATAAAGAAGCAAACGTTAAAAATGTACGTCGACGTCGCAACTAGAATTTTCCACGCCTGTTATCACAGGTCAACTATAGATACACTTAAGTGGTAAGCTAATTTTTTTTCGGAAGATAAACTTAATTTTTTTACTTTGTGAACGAATTTTTTTTTATTTGTGAACGAATTTTTTTTTTACATTTTGATCTAATATTTTCTAACAATAGTATACTCGTTGTGTTTTCAGGAAGAAACACTAACTTCATGTTCACCGGCGTGAACTTCAACTTATGCACTGCGGCATTGTTCGAAAGAATAGCCACTTATCTACCCTCTCGACCAAAAGCAATATCCAATTTTTTTGATGTAACCGAGAAGATCTCAGAGGTCATCCAAGCTTTGGGCGAGTGATGATACTCCACGTAACGACGTGTACCAATAGCTGTCATTGATGTCAGTTTGGGGTGTTTTTCTTGTTGCAAAGAGGGTTTGTTGTGTTTGTAGGTAAGTAAAATTATAAGGCGGTATACTGGATTTCCCACCTCATTTTCCAATAAATGATTAAATTTTTTCCAAGTCAGACGCTCATTTTTCCAAAGTGTGGTTGATAATTTTTTCCAAAAGCTACAGCTTAATTTTTCCACAAAGTGTTTTTATTCTTCCAAAAACGTTACGCTAGAATGAGCATCGACA